TGCTGCCTGGTAGGTCTAAGCATGGACTGAGAGCGAGGTAGTGCATCCCACTCGCTCATGCCGCATCCCGTGACGTCATACAGTCACTAGACCTAATAGGGATCGTCTATATAAAACACATGGATGGTACTATGATACTCAGCTAAGCTATACAACACATGTAAGGGGATCAGCAACTATGCTGACAAATCTTGGTAAGGTGAATCTTGGTAAGGTGAATCTCGGTGAGGTGAATCTTGGCCAGGTAAATCTTGGCAAGATGAATCTCGGTAAGGTGAATCTTGGCAAGGTGAATCTCGGTAAGGTGAATCTAGGCAAGGTGAATCTTGGCAAGGTGAATCTCGGCAAGGTGAATCTCGGTAATGTGAATCTCGGTAATGTGAATCTCGGTAATGTGAATCTCGGTAATGTGAATCTCGGTAAGGTGAATCTCGGTAAGGTGAATCTTGGTAAGGCGAATCTCGCACTAACATGGCAGGCAGCAGTAACTCTGAAATTCGGTGCCAGACACAAGTTTTTTCCTCTTACCTTGAGCAAGCTCGACTCTCCTCGACTGTCACCAGTGATCTGTGGTGAGGTGTCAGCACTTGTGTCCCAGCCAGAGACTCTCTCACTCTGCCCAGGGGAGAAAGAGAGACAGACTGACAGACATTGACACAGACACACACACTGGCGAAGGGCAAAGAAGACCGCAGACAGAGTATAGGCTAGGTGGCCAAAGACTGCAAACCTCACTCAAGGAGAAAGATCTTGGGGTGAGTATAACACCGAGCATGTCTCCTGAGGCACACATCAACCAGATAACTGCTGCAGCATACGGGCGCCTGGCAAACCTGAGAATAGCGTTCCGATACCTTAATAAGGAATCGTTCAAGACACTGTACACTGTGTATGTTAGGCCCATACTGGAGTACGCAGCACCAGTTTGGAACCCACACCTGGTCAAGCACGTCAAGAAATTAGAGAAAGTGCAAAGGTTTGCAACAAGGCTAGTTCCAGAGCTCAGGGGAATGTCGTACAAGGAAAGGTTGAGGGAAATCGGCCTGACGACAGTGAAGGACAGGAGGGTCAGGGGAGACATGATAATGACATACAAAATGTTGCGAGGAATAGATAGTTGACAGAGGACGTTCCAGAGATGGGACACAGAAACAAGTGGTCACAATTGCAAGCTGAAGACTCAGACGAGTCACAGGGATGTTAGGAAGTATTTCTTCAGTCAGAGTTGTCAGGAAGTGGAATAGTCTAGCAAGTGATGTAGTGGAGGCAGGCACCATACATAGCTTTAAGACGAGGTATGACAAAGCTCAGGGAGCAGAGAGAGGACCTAGTAGCCATCAGTGAAGAGGCGGGGCCAGGAGCTGAGTCTCGACACCTGCAACCACAATTAGGTGAGTACAATTAGGTGAGTGTACACACGCGCGCACACACACACACACACACACACAATGTACACATGCAAAAACACATGCACACAGAGACAAACACATGAAAACAGAGACAAACAGGTACACACAGACGTACAATCCATAACTATTTGTATCTATGTAGCAACATTTGTACAGACAATAACAACGGACTGAACACAAAATATCGTAATTGATTAGCCATAACGTCAAAAACGTTCAAAATATCGCAGAAATTATGGAAAAGTTCACAATTTTGTAGCCGGAATAGTTCGTAAATAATCTCACTTTTGATACCAACTTTTATGGTAAATAAAGAATTTGCTAGCAACCCTATGTAGCTCACAGATGAGCTAGGTGCAGCTCACCTAGGCACACCTAGATGCAGCTCACCTAGGCACACCTAGATGCAGCTCACCTAGGCACACCTAGATGCAGCTCACCTAGGCACACCTAGATGCAGCTCACCTAGGCACACCTAGATGCAGCTCACCTAGGCACACCTAGATGCAGCTCACCTAGGCACACCTAGATGCAGCTCACCTAGGCACACCTAGATGCAGCTCACCTAGGCACACCTAGATGCAGCTCACTTAGGCACACCTAGATGCAGCTCACCTAGGCACACCTTGGTGCAGCTCACGGGCAGTCTAAGTGTAACTCACTACACCTAGGTACAACTTACGTCCCACCTAGGTGTGCTCCAAGATGAAGCGAATCGCTGTCTAAAGTTAACCCGACAAAGTGTAAGGTAGATGTGTGTTACGGTTATCTTCTAAATAAAATTGTAACGTAGGCAGCGGAAGGCAATCCGTGTTTTACGGGAAGCAGGAAAGAGACGGATAAGTCTTAAAAAATATTCCTCTCCTCGAAATCCAATTTAGTTCGGGAGGAGCACAAGGTAAACAGGGAGAATCTTCCTCTTACAAGACGTCTTCACGTCCCCGAGATGTTTCTCCCTAACTTGCGTTTCAGCAAATTTCGCGACGAGGTGATCTTACGAACTCCGAATTCCAAGAGGAATTGCTATGAAACGTCTTCGCAAACTCGCATTCCACCAGAAGTCGCTGCGAGGTGAAGCTGCTAGCCAGATTTCCACTCAAATTTACGACAAGACCCTAGTGAACTTGCATTCCACAAGGAATTGAAAAGAAGGGCCTTTCTAAACGCGCTCATTCCATTCCAGCAGAGACAAGACGATCCCCTGAGCCCGCATTCCACCGCACGACCCATTAAACCTGCATTCCAACAGGAATACCAACAAAATACCTACCTCGAGCTAGCACTCCACCAACATTAGCCAGACTGCTTCTTAAACCCACATTCCAAAAGAATTAATCGATGATAAAACATTCCAAACGAAATTCCGCTAGGAATCGCTACAATACTCATTCCCGTCACTGGCATTCCACCTGGAGCGGAGGTCACCTCCCTCGAGACGGGGTTTTGACCTCGTCTAGTACATGAATTCCTTGGCCACCAGACAACCTGGAACGTTAACCGGCATCAAACACACACAATAGCGTTGATGCTGTACCTGTGAACAAGTAGGTAACTTCTATGTGGGTGCGTGTTCGTATTCGTGTAAGTGTCCGTGTTCTTTGACTTTTTTGGGTTATCCTGGGTAATCTACACATGTGCTGCTATGTATGATAATTTATGTAACTATTTATGTATACCTGAATAAACCTACATCGTGCGTGTGCGTTTTTGTGTGCTCGCGCGTGTACTCTTGAATTTGTGCGTTCATGCGTATGTACTCCAAGAGTTGTACTCGAGATATTGTTCCTCCTTGCGCTTTTTATTCTTAGTCGTGCCTGTTCTTGAACCTGCGTATGAGATTTTTCTCCACTGCCTCTTCCTCCAGCCCAATCCATCACTACCACAACGAGACGAGAGAAAACACGAGCCCTCTAAGTTTGAAGCCGACCAGAAGAAACATTCTCCAGTTATCACACAATCCAAGAGTTTCAAACAATTACGCATTAAAAAATTTAGATAAAAATTTCGCATATAGCCAAAGGATAACCCAGAAAGTATGGCGTCAAGGATGTCTAACATTCCGGGTCCTTTTTTCATCACCCCCAAATTAAAATTTGCTGCTATAAAGTGTAAGAAACGTGTCAATTTTTTCCACCCGCCGGAATCAACCCCCCTCGTTTTGAAGCGGGATTAAAACCCCCAAAATACCTAAAAGAAAATTGTTACTCAAAATCAAGGCTGAAAAACACGTTTTTTTTCATACATTATTATAGTCTATTTTTCACCCATGGTACTCTTTACATCCCATCAGATTATTCCAAGGAAAAAACCACAATCAGAAAAGCATTTGTTATCCGCAAAACCATGCGGATGGATAACACGTGTTTGGTGTTATCATTACATTATTGGATGCTAAATTGGTCCTTCCTGCAGTCCTGTTGGACTTCGCTCCTCACTGTGACTTTACATGAATTGGCTTAGTGTTTAACGGGAGGGCGGGCTCACGCCACGTGGCTCCTTGGGAGACGGGGGAGCCCGGGGTCGCGCCAGGAAAATGGCGTGAACCGAATAAAATGAGGATTTTGATTTTCTTAAATGTCTAAATAGTTACAAATAAAGAATAATGGAAATAGTTTCTCGTTTTCACTATTTAAAAAAACTTTTTTTTCAATCTTTTCAGTTAGAATTTTATATAATGGCGGCACGACACACACACTAGTAAAGAATCATTAGTTTATCATTTCTTTCTTGTTTTTCCAGTTTATTTCCGTAGTTATAGCTTAAACAGCGTTGAAAATTTGAAGCCAATCAGAAGAGATGTTCTTAAGAAAGCTGTACCTGAGTATATGACCGGCTCTACGATAAAGTCGTTCGAAAATATAAGGGCTCAATCAACTCTAGATTTTTTTCAGCGGTGCTCAGTTTTCTCCTCTACACTCAATAGGGAGCCTGTTGATCAGTTGCGCTAAACCCACTAGGGACATACAGAGCTGATTAAAGTCTGGAGTTGCGTAGAAGAAGGATATTCAGATAATTTCACTGAAGTACTGTACAATTTTATAAATTGGCACCTACACACTCTAATATCAGTCTCAACTTTCTTCTAAGTAGGACTCACCAGCGTTGGAATTGAGGAATGACTTCCATTAAACTGGCCAGAAGACATTCCAATAGTTGCATGAACCTTTCCCAAGTTAGTGTACACCAGTGTCGAAAGTTTGAGGCCGATCTGATGAGACGTTCTAAACTCGTTGGCGAAAACCTTGGAGGTAAAAACTAATCAGACAACCACCCAGGAATATCTAATTATGAGGGATACCTAATTATCAGGAATATCTAATTATGAGAGATACCTAATTATCAGGAATATCTAATTATGAGGGATACCTAATTATCAGGAATATCTAATTATGAGGGATACCTAATTATCAGGGATAACTAATTATCACGGGTACCTAATTATCAAAGCATCGGTTACACTAATATATTCTCACAAATTAAGCAGCTGTTTGAGGTGAGAGCCTTGGTCATCACTATTCATATTAATATTTGTCATCATTATTCATGTCATCAATATTCATGTCATTAATATTCGTATCATCACTACTGCAGGTAGCCGATGCGAGGTGGAGGTGGGTGAGGGCTGTCGGAGATTGCAGTGTCCTCCAGGTACTACCTGTCAGAGAGCTCCAGCATCCACTACCCTCCACTGCGTCTCAGGTGAGAGCCTTCTTGGCCTCTTTCAGCAGTAAGACTTGAGATTCTCTTCCCTCTTGAAAGCCATAATTTAGTTAGCCTCTCTCTCTCTCTCTCTCTCTCTCTCTCTCTCTCTGAGCAGTGTCGAGCCTCCACCACGCGGATTTACATCTTCGTATAACTGGTAATGATATTAAATACTCTTGTTTGTGTTGACTGTTTTGTCAGCCTCTCAGATGCTACGAGAGAAAATGGAAAATCTATTCATTTTTAACAGTTTATAACAACGTTTTAGGTTTGTGTATAATTCCTGTTTAATTGTGAATTGTTCAAGCTGGTGAATTATAATAATCGTAACTACGTACACACAAGGGTATCTTATTGGTGAAAGAAGCGTGTGTGCCTCTTCATTCTCCAAGAACCCACTCTCCAGGATGTCCATGTGTACCCACAGAATTGGGTTCAGAAGAGTCATGGCCCGTAGCGGACGTGGATGGTCGTGGATACCTGGCTTTGCCTCGTGTACAGACGATGATGGAGAGTCTGTCACTGGAGGTGTGGTTTCTTGCTAGGTCCCCACACGGCATGCTCCTCTACCAGGCTGAAGGACCCGCACATCGAGGAGACTTCATTAGCCTCAATCTGGCCGGAGGATACCTCCAGTTCCGTCTCGATGCCGGTCCAGGAGTCGTTAATCTCACGTGAGTGTTCTTTTGATGTTATGGAATCCGGATTCATAGACGTCGTGTTTGTTTTCGTTCGTTAAGTAATACAGTGCATGTTAGGTACTATATTCGTCGCTTTTACGCAAGTATCGTCGCTCTTGTCTGGGTGTAAACAATCTCATATAAGTCTCTTTGGAAATTAGAATTTTTCTCGTTCTTTGGTCACTCTTGTCATTAACCTCGTGTTCAATTGAGATTTTATTTTGCCAAAATTATGCAAAAATTATTTGTCTGTGAATGTTGTGCAAGACAATTTTCTTGTTAAGTCTGTTACGCTTCAGAATACAATGTTCTTGCTGGGATATTTGCAGTTCTTGTTATTAAAGTTATTCTTCATATCTGTCTAAACACTTTGAGGGACAAATTGGATCTTTCTATCACGCCCAAATCAGGGTTAGCTCAATCCTTCAATCTCAAAAGTCACTCATTGAAACTTCTCAATGGTTTTGTTTACAGTGAACTCTTGGTTACGTTTTTGACCTACAATTTTTTTTTTTCAAAATGGTATAAAATACCGACAAGTTGATGAATAAGACATGTTCAACTGTTGTACGTGTTTCTAACAATCTTTTTTTCTTTTTTTGGGCTGGGTGGATAAGTTCATGACTGGCTGAGGGGCATTCACTGGCTGATTGGGGCATTCACTGGTGATACATTCACTGGGTGAGGCATTCAGGCGATGGACTTTCACTGGCTGATGGGGCATTCACTGGCTGAGGGAAATTCATGGGTGATGGACAAAGGCTGATGGACATTTCCCGGCTGATGGGCATTCAGGCTGATGGACACAAGGCTGATGGACATTCACTGGCTGATGGACATTCACTGGCTGATGGACATTCACTGGCTGATGGACATTCACTGGCTGATGGACATTCACTGGCTGATGGACATTCACGGCGAGGGACATTCCTGGTGAGGGACACACTGGCTGATGGACATTCACTGGTGAGGACATTCACTGGCTGATGGACATTCACTGGCTGAGGGACATTCACTGGCTGATGGACATTCACTGGCTGATGGACATTCACTGGCTGATGGACATTCACTGGGTGATGGACATTTAAAGGGGGGGATGGACATTCACGGTGATGGACATTTCACTGGCTAAGCCTCATGTTAGGTCCCCCTACCATACTTGTAGGTTATCCTCTCATCCTACATACCATTACTTTTAGGTTATCCCCCCTCATCCACACTACCCTACTTTAGGTTTAAAACCCCTCATCCACCTACCAACTTTAGGTTATGCCTCTCATCCTAAAATACCATACTTGTAGGGTTTTCCTCTCATCCTCACTACCATACTTGTAGGTTAGCCTCTCATCCCACACTACCATACTTGTAGGTTTTGCCTCTATCCTACACACCATACTTGAGGTTTGCCTCTCCCTAACTACCATCTTTTAGGGTTATCCTCTCATCCCACCCCATACTTTTAGGTTTTCCTCTCTCCTACACTACCATACTTGTAGGTTATGCCTCTCATCCTACATACCATACTTGTAGTTAGCCTCTCATCCTACACTACCCTCTTGTAGGTTATCCTCTCATCCTACACTCCATACTTGTAGGTTATGCCCCTCAATCCTACACTACCATACTTGTAGGTTATGCCTCTCATCCTAAAACAACCATACTTGTAGGTTATGCCTCTCATCCTACACTACCATACTTGTAGGTTATGCCTCTCATCCTACACTACCATACTTGTAGGTTATGCCTCTCATCCTACACTACCATACTTGTAGGTTATGCCTCTCATCCTACACTACCTTTACTTGTAGGTTATGCCTCTCATCCTACACTACCATACTTGTAGGTTATGCCTCTCATCCTACACTACCATACTTGTAGGTTATGCCTCTCATCCTACACTACCATACTTGTAGGTTATACCTCTCATCCTACACTACCATACTTGTAGGTTAAAACCTCTCATCCTACACTACCATACTTGTAGGTTAACCTCTCATCCTACACTACCATACTTGTAGGTTATACCTCTCATCCTACACTACCATACTTGTGGGTTTTATACCTCTCATTCCTACACTACCATACTTGTGGTTATACCTCTCATCCTACACTACCATACTTGTAGGTTATACCTCTCATCCTACACTACCATACTTGTAGGTTATACCTCTCATCCTACACTACCATACTTGTAGGTTATACCTCTCATCCTACACTAACATACTTGTAGGTTATACCTCTCATCCTACATTACCATACTTGTAGGTTATACTTCTTATCCTACACTAACATACTTGTAGGTTATAACTCTTATCTTACACTACCATACTTGTCATCCAACATACTAGTGGACAATACCTGTCACCCTACCACATCTATGGGGTCTACTTGTCATCTACCATAACTACAGGTCACCCAGTACTAAGATATTCACCTTGGATGCTCACCAGGTCAGCAGAGGTGGTGGAGGTCGGGTCATGGCACGGTGTCAAGGCATCGTGGGGGGGTGGTCGTGCCTCTCTTCAGGTGGATGGGTCACCACCTGTCACCTGCCCTGCCCCAGGGCACCCTAATACCCTCACCCTCAACACCCCCCTTTATATAGGTGGCTTCAGGTGAGTAATATGGTAAAAGCTGTTATTCAGGTTTGATCCGAGGACAGGGTAAAGATGAACACTGATAAATTCGGTATTCCAAGTATTTTAACTTTAGTGATAAGTTATCCAAGCTATGGAAGGTTATTGTGCTATGTAGCACACACTTCAGCAGTGTACGTAGCTATAACTCGCGAAATCGTAATGACACGACTGCAAACAAACCACGGTACGGGTGGGGATTGAACTCGCGGCAAGGGAGTCGTAAAGCACTAAACAGGCGCGTCAGCCAGTGGTTAACGCGCCTGTCTTGAGTTTTAAGACTTGCTAGCCGCGAGTTCGACGGTTTTTTTTTTTTTTTACGTAGCTATGGTTACTGTAGATATAGTATCTAGCAACTATTTAAGCATTCGCAAAATAAGATTTCACACTTTCCTGAAAGTAAACTATTTAAACGAGTCACGTGGACTCGAGCCGGGGTTAGCCCCTTCAGGAGTGTGTTTATCTCCTCGGCAGCAGACTATGGTACCTGGTGAACCGGGAGTCTGGAATCCTGGTGGGACTGAACGGGGCGCTGCAGAGGCTGCTGGTCAACGGCGTCGTCTACAGCAGACTGACGGAAGCGGCCACGGAGCAGAGGGGCGTCTCTCTCTATATAGGTCCTCCGTGTCATCCCAACCCCTGCAACAACGGGGGGTTGTGCGTGCCCATCCTAGCTAACTTCTCCTGCCGCTGCCCCGTCATGTTCGTCGGTAGACTCTGCCATAAGAGTTAGTGTTTCTCTTCTTTCATCCTCCAGTAACCAAATCTGTGCTGTTATTTTTTTCCAAATTATTTAAATGTGTATACTTATTGTAATGTGTTGTGTGTGTGTGTTGTGTGTGATTGTGTGTGTTGTGTGTGTTGTGGGGTGTTGTGTGGTGTGTTGTGTGTGTGGGTTTTGTGTGTGTGTGTGGTGGGGTTTTGTGTGTGGTGTGGGGTGTGTGTGTGTGTGTGTGTGTGGTGTTGTGTGTTTTGTGTGTGGGTTTTGTGTGTGTGTTGTGTGTGTGTGTTGTGGTGTTGTGTATGTTGTGTGTGTTGTGTTTGTATATGTGTGTGTGTTGTATGTGTGTGTGTGTGTTGTGTGTGTGTGTTGTGTGTGTGTTGTGTGTTGTATGTGGTGTGTTGTGTGTGTGTGTTCTTCCTCCGTAATCCATGAGTGTCGTAAGAGACGGACTAAAATGCCGGGAGCAAGGGGCTCGTAAAACCCCCTTTTCCTGTATGCATTACTAAAGTTAAAAAAAAAACTTTTGTTTTTCATTTTGGGCCACCCTGCCTCGGTTGGATACGGCCGCTTTGCTGAAAGAAAAAAAATTATAATTTTATATATATAATATATATTTTATATATATATTATATATATATATATATTATATATTTAAAATATATTTATTTATATATATATATTTATTTATATATTAAAAATATATATATATTTATTTATATATATATGTATAAAATATTTTATTTATATATTATATATATTTATATATATATATATATATATTTATATATAAAATATATATATATATATATATATATTTTATATATATATTTATATATGTATGGTGTAGGAGGTAGGTTACTGAAAGCAGTGAAGAGTTTTTACAGGATAGTGGGGCTCAAGTTAGAGTATGTGGGAAAGAGGAAATTTTTTTCCCAGTAAAAGTAGGCCTTAACAAGGTTTTTTTTTGATTCACCGGGGGTTTTTTAATATATTTATAGAGGGGGTTGAAGAGAAGTAAATGCGGGGGGTCTTGGAAAAGGGGCGGGGAGTTAAAAGATAAAGAATCCACACAAAGGGGGGAGTTGTCACAGCTGCTCTTTGCTGATGACATGTCTTTTGGGGAGATTCTGAAGAGAATTGCAGAGATTGGGGGATGAATTTGGTGGGGTGTGAAAAAGAAAAAAATTTAAAAAGGTGTTTACAGGAAAGAAAAAGGTTATGAGGATAAAAAAAAGATTAGGTGATGAAAGTTTAATATAGTTTGGAGGGAGAGAGTAGGAGGAGGTGAACGTATAAATTTTTTGGGAGTGGAGTGTAGCGGAGGGGTCTATGAAAGTGAGGTGAATCATAGAATTGATGGGGGAAAAAGAGGATGGTGCCTTAGGAGTCTGTGGAGAAAAAGAACTTTGTCCTTGGAGGCAAAGAGGGGAATGTATGAGGTATATTTTTTTCCAAACGCCTTTATGGGTGTGAAGCGTGGGTGATGAATGTTGAGCGAGGAGAAGGCGGGGGCAGTGGAGTGTCATGTCTGAGGGAATGTGTGGTGTGAATAAAATGCAGAGAATTCAGTTTGGAAGTTAGGGGGAGTGCGGGATTACCAAAACGTTGTCCAAGGGCTGAGGAAGGGTTGTTGAGGTGGTTGGGACATGAGAGAAATGGAGCAAACAGAATGACTTCAAGGGGTTATCAGTCTGTATGGAAGGAAGGCGGGGTAGGGGGGGCCAAAGGGGTTGGAGGGAGGGGGTAAGGGGTTTTGGTGCAGGGTTTGGGATTCCAGCAGGCATGCGTGAGCGTGTTTGATGGGGGTGAATGGAGACAAATGGTTTTTTTTACTTGACGTGCGTTGGAGTGTGAGCAAAGTAACATTTATGAAAAAGGGGGTTCAGGGGAAAACCCGGGAGGGCCGGACTTGAGTCCCGGAGATGGGGAAATACAGTGCCCGCACCTTTAAGGAGGGGGGTTAATGTTCAGTTTAAAAACTGTAGTGTAAAGCACCCTTCTGGAAAAACAGTGATGGATGAATAGGGGAAAATTTTTTTTTTTTCGGGGCCCCCCTGCCTTGGGGGGAAACGGGCCCGGGGTGATAAAAAAAAAAAAAAATAAAAAAAAAATTATTAATATATATTTTTATTTTATATATATAAAAATATAATTTTATATATATACATATATATATACATTATAAATATATATATATATATATAAAATATATATATATATATAAATATTATATATTATTTCATTCATTATATCTGAGTTTTTTTAGTTTAAGGGTTTCGTGTGCGCTCCACAGGTATGGCAGGCATGAGTTTAGATAACCCCTTCATCTGGCGGATCACACTTTTTTTGTACCCCGGACGCTCTCCCTCAAGTGAGTACTCGCAAACGAAGCAAGAGCTTTAAAAAACCCCCCGGGATTTTTTTTGCAAGCTCTTCCTTCAAAAATTTTACTTGATAAGCAATCATGAGGCAGAATTTTAAGGGCTTTTGAGAAGTCAATTTTGATTTAATGTAACTATAACCCCGGGGAAATTAGCCGGGTCGAGCAATGAGTTTTTCAGGAACCCCTTTTGGCTGGAAAAAAGGTTTGCTAAAACCCGCCTTTGATGCAACAACATGGGTAAGGGCACGAGTCAAACATTCCGGGCCTGGACCTTGATCCCCAAAATGAAGTAGGAGAATGAAGGGGGCACAGTTAATGCAACCATGGTTGATGGCAGGTGAAGAAAAGGTTGTCAAAAGCTATGTCAATTAACATCTGAGTTGCAGCACCCAGAAGTGCCGTGAGTGCCAGAGTACTTGCAAGTCCTTTGTTTAGTGGCATTGGCTCCTGAACGCCTGTCGATCGCCTAACCCCCCAACATTTTGTGTTATCAATCTCTTGTCCCTTGATACAGATGCGAAATATTACTCGAAAATAACGTAGTGGATAAAGGCATTCAACTAGACAAATATACTCATAAATTTTAGTGGCACTTAGCTTCCCTGTACAACAGTAATGGTTCTGAAGACAAATAGGATTTACATGTGAAACTAAGCTTTGTTTATTCCTTTAGGATTTACATGTAAAACTAGGCTTTGATTATTCCTTTAGGATTTACATGTGAAACTAGTATTTGTTTATTCCTTTAGGATTTACATGTGAAACTAGGCTTTGTTTATTCCTTTATAAATTACAGGGAAGAATTATTTGTAGTGTACCAATGAAGATACTTAAAAAAAGAGATTATCTTTACTCTAAGAAAGCAAAGGCAGTTTTTTTTAATGATGTTAATTTAGAGAAAAACTAGAGACGGTTAATGCTGGTGAGGGGCTCTTGATCTAGGGAATTGGATCTGTTCACCAGTTCTTTGAATTAAACCTGAATAACTTCCACATCCCCCCCCCCTCAGCGCTGTATAATCCTACGGGTTTAGCGTTTCCCCCTTGATTAAAATAATAATATAGACGGTTAATCAGGACAAGAAATATTTGCAATCGTTTCAACTCTTGAGAAACACTTCATATTCTCTCTTATTTATAAAGTTATATGGAACTATCACTCATTTACATAATTCTCAGGTGGAAACTGAAATCCTGGATGATTTCGGTCGACCATTTACCATTATCAGTTCTTCTCTTCGGGTAAATTTTAATCATCGTTGTGGGTCTTCGTAATATAACGACAATTCTAATTTTGTGAATATATTGAACTTTAGTATTTTGAAAATCAAAATATGCTGCAGATCTCCCCAGGAGAGGACGAATAGTGGCCCAAATGCAACGTTTCGCTCTATGTAGAGCGAAACGTTGCCAGAAAAGCTTGTTCTACCCCCTTTCAGTAGCACTATTTTGGATCCAAAACGTTGTCCGGTTTTCCTTTCTATTATATGGATTATTAATTATTATTTATGTATTTATATATTATTACCTAAAATGCAGCAGCCTCGCGCTTATTATAGTCTCTCTGTGACTGGATTAATTGTGGCTAGTCCAGGCCCAGGTAGTGTAACTTTTATTGAGTATATGAGTCTTGTAAGAGTCTCTCTCTCTCTCTCTCACGCACACACACACACAGGTCCAACAAAAGTGGTCTTCACGTCCCCTGGAGTCATCCAGACTACGACTACCTGCAGTACGACGAGACGGAGCGACAACTGTTGGATCAGGACACCAAGCACGACAACCTGGCTCACTACAGGTCGGTACAGTTTGTCGAGCCAGGAGACAGATAGACAGAGCCCCAACGGGAGATTTTCCATTAACTGTAAGAAACTTACAGGTGAAGGGCTCTTGATCAGAGGAATTAGAGCTGTTCTTACCTTGAATTCAATTTTCCTGCCATTACCCAGACACTGACCCCTGAGTGTTTAGCACATTAATCAACGGGGATCATAGAGCACATGGGGAACTGGCAGGTAATAACGCTCGATCCAAGGAAGGGGAAGTTAGCTCATTGCGGATCAAGAGCTGTACATAAGTGTGAAGGTAACGATACTGATGAGTGATCAGTGACGGTCGGTAGTGAGAGTCTGGTTGTTATTGAGCAAGTTAACTGATTAACCCGGAGCGTTACTGTATGACCACTCATGGCTGTGTGTGTGTGTGTGTGTGTGTGTGTGTGTGTGTGTGTGTGTGTGTGTGTGTGTGTGCGTGCGTGCCTGCGTGCCTGCGTGCGTGCATGCGCCGCTAGTATGTGCGTGTAACCTCATACATGCAATTGAGAGACAATTCCAAGTGTATCAGTAATATAGGAGATCCTGTTAGCAGTAATCTAAAGCCCAGCAACGTATAAGTGTTTGCAATAAATCTAATAGAATTCTTGATTCTACATTAAGAAGTATAAACAAAAGTGCTGATGTTATACCCCATTTATATATACTTCTCGGTTCTGAGACTCGGTTCTTGGACCCATTATGTGCCTCTAATATTCTGACTACCGCCCCACAGGATATTAAACTATTCAGTTCTGGTCACAGTGTCACAGAATAGACATAAATACACTGGAAAAACATAAGAAAAGAATAAAATTGATCCCATGTGTCAGAAATCTTTCCTACGAAGGTGGACTAAAGACAGTGAACCTGAACTCTCTGGAAAGACGTAGAATTAGGAAGAATATGACTGAGATGTATAAAAGGAAGACAGGAATAAATAAAGGGGATGTAAAAAACCTGCTTAAATAGTCTAAAAAAAATAGATAA